TTCCTAATCAGAAAGTGCTGCTCAGATGTAAGACTTCAAATCGTTCTCTGCAATACTGTAGTCCCCACCTGTAGCTAAGGGAGACAACCCACTATTGTTCTAAAATGACAGATAAATTTGTTTTCTCCCCCTATCTAGAAGCCTTTGAGAGGGAACGGACACTGATTCCAGCCACTTCAACAACTATCAAAGAGCCTGAAAGCAAATCCTGAATCCATCACTCTCGAGTCCAGACTTGGCAGACAAAAGAAAAATGAGGAGGAACCCAATAGACGGATGCTTTTGTAAGCTCTCTTCAAGAAATTCCAATGGACCCTCATATGAACATTTGAAATTTGCCCTGTTCTTTTTTCTAGTTCCCTGTCTAGAACCTGTACTGCTACTTACTCTTGCCCTTACTTCTCCTTCACATCTTCTATTTGCCAGTCAAGGACTTTCTTTTCCCCATAGAGATAAGAGTTATGCAATTTGGGAGTCCTTTAGATAGATCCACTGAAGGGGTACCCCAATTGCCTCACCTTGCCTCCCTGTTCAGCATGGAAGAAGCCAGAGTGGTCTGCATCCCAATTCCCTATCCACAAGTTGGGTAACCTCTTCAGAGGATGGTGTGATAAGAATAGAAGATAGGAATTGGCTAGGCAGTTAGGATAAAAAAGCCCCAAAGAAAAGTAGCCAGTTTCTTAGCTAAAAGTCAAAATGTCCTTGGGCCTCTTAGCAACATATTCTGTTCTAAAGGCCAAAACTGTTAAAAGTATTTGGGAGCTCTTATCTAATCTTTAAAAGATTTTAGGGTTATTTCTTCAGAGGGGGGGAACATTAGAGTAGCAAAAAGCCCCATAGAAAAAAAGAAGAAAGAGTACATGAAGTTATCAGAAAAAAGTGATGGGGCGATATGGAAGGAGCTGGAGAGGAGGAAGTGGGCATGGATTTGATCAAAACACCTTTAGATGCATGTATGAAATTCTCAATAAAATATTTTTTAAAAATTGAGAAGTAATACTTTAATGATAGTAAATCCTCTGATTTTCTCTGATTTCTCTAGGTGATTTCTTGTAGGATTTAGTATCTGTCTCTGACATCTTTTATGATTTATCCCTAAATATATATTTTGGTATTATAATGGTGGTTTTCAATTTTCACTTTATAATTGTTAGTTGCTTAATACAGAATTAATAAATGCATATCTTATGTTCTGCAACTTTGTTAAATGAAACTAAATTATAGCAGCTTTTATTATAAATTCCACAAGACTTTGACATAGATGATTATACTGTGTATGACTAAAGATAGTTTTACTTCTTTCTAATCTGGATCTTTTTTTTCAATTTTCTTCCTAATAAGACTTACTAGGTTCAACAGAAGTAGTGAAAATAGGTATTCTTGTTATTGATATTAAAGCATTTAGTCTTTCATCATTAAATACAATAGTTACATGATTTTTGCAGATGCCCTTTGTCAGGTTGAGGAAATTCTCCTCTTCCCTCAGTTTACTAAGATTTTTTAACTAGAAATGGATATTTGGTGATATCAAATGCTTTCTCTACATTACTGAAATTATATAGATAGTTTTTTTAGTTTGTTAATATAAGTTGCAGTGAGTGATTTTCCAAAACTAAAGCCAGTATCAGTAAACTTTTTTAAAAAAATTCAACTATTTTATTTTAATGAGCTGTGTTTTCTAAATTTCTGTTTTACTTTTTCCTGTTTTCATACAATATTGAAAACAAAACACAGCACATTCATATTTTCCCAAGGAACTGTAAAGATGATCTCTACAGGGGTAGATGCTGGAAAGCCTGAAGCTCAATCAACTGATATTGAAAACTCTCAGAGGAGTAAAGGCTTGATCTGAATGGTCTAGAACATGTACTGCAATTTAACAGAAGAGATGGTCATCTTAGTAATAATGATTTAAAAGAACTTCCCAGTAAAGCTTTTACATACTAATATTTTGACATATAAAAATTGCACTATTTAAAGTATACAAGTCAATGTGTTTGGAGATAAGGATATACCTGTGTAATCAATACCATCAAGGCCAGACATACCCTTCCTCTTCTTTGTACTTACTGTTTCATGACAGCTTGCTGCACCCCAATGTAATTAAACCCTTGGGTAATGTTACTAATAGTTCTGTTTTACATTTGACCTTTTTAGAGTATGTAATTTTTTTCTTGATGTAAAGTTTTTTAATCATTACAATATATTTTAGAAAGTACTCTCATACTCTTTGAAGTTGTAAAGGTTTAAATAAGTAACATAACTTTTGTCAAAGATTACAAGGTATTTTGATCATATTCAGATCTCCTTCCCCATCTCCACCCTCACCTTACCACCCACCCCCAATTTCATGTCCTTTATTAAATGAAAAACCCCCATCCAGCTTAACTGGGTGCCAGAGAAATCATATCTCATTAAAATGTCAGTGATCTACAATTTTTACACACAGATGGGCCAAAGTAGGGGTCCACTAACTTTCCTTTGTACATGGTTTTGGGTCAGAATATGCTCAAGTTTCTTTGATTGGAATTTTCACTTTTTTTCCTGCCTTTCTTATACTTTGTTTAGAATTGTCCAGTAGGGCTTTCCATCTGGGTGATCAGAAATGCTTGGGTTTCCTCATCAAAGTCAGCTGTTTGCCACCTGAGTACATGCAGGTTACAATTTGGTTGTTTCTGGGCCTGTGTAGCTCCATTCACCAATGGAGCCCATGGGGTGGCCAGGTGACCAAGCTGGTACAGCTCTGCCTGATGCCAGGCGCCATCTCACCAAGATTCTTTTTAAAATATTTTATTTATTATTTTTATTTTATGTGTGAGTGTATTGCCTGCATGTAGGTAAGTGTACCTATGTCATGCAATGCCCACAGAGGACAGAAGAGGCCTGGAGTTATGGACAGTTGTTAGCTGCCATGTGGGTGTTGGGATTCGAACCCAGATCTTCTGCAAGAACAACCAGTGTTCTTAACCACTGAGCCATCTCTCCAGCCCCTCACCAAGATTCTTAAAATGAAGAGAGAGGCCCGGAGTCTTGTTTTAAGTCTTTGCACTGAGAGCTGCTTCCACCACTGCTCTGAAGCCTGCAGCTGTACAGCACCTGGACTCTCCAGTTTCCTTCCCTCTTATTTGCCAGGTCCTGAGTTCATAATTTTGAGATCAATACAGAAGCATCTATGATCAGGAAAATACTCATCTTGTATGATAAGGTTCCTTATATGATTGGTACACTCACTCAGTCTCTTGGGAGCCAGACCACCCCAGCCCTGAGGCACGCTGCCAGGGGTATGCCTCATTCTACTGCCATCTCACCAAAATCCTTAATAAAATGCAGAGACCCAGAGGAGTCATTTTAAGCTCCTGTGCTGAGAGCCACTGCTGCCACTAATTCTCTGGTGCCCACAGGACAACAGTTGTGTTGCTCCCTAGTTTTTTTTTTCCTTGCCAAGTCCTGAGTTCTGAATTTTTAGATCAATATAGAAGCACCTATGGTCTGGGAAACGTTCACCTTGTGCGGTCAGGTTCTGCATGCAGTTCAGCACACGCACTGTTTCTTGGGAGCTGGCACACCCCAGGTTCCTCAGATTAGCTGCTCCAGGGTGTACCTCCTCTGCCTGCTGCCTTAGAGTATATAATCTTTTTAGTTTGTATATATTCAGTTTTATCATACTTTACCATCCTGCCTTATTTCTGTGTTACAATCATTTTTTAAAAAGACAAAAGCTTTTCCAATCCAAGACTATAAAAAAGATTCACTTAGGTTATCAGCCTGAAATTCAACTTAGAATAAGGACTGTTAAAGGGTTCTTTTTCTCTATACTTAATCCTCCACCCCTCAGTTGAGATAATCATCTTTATCACATATTCCTCTCATATTACCATGTATGTGATTTCCACGTCTGAAGTCTTTATTCAATTGCATTGATTTATCTGGCCACAGCCAAGTTACTTTAATTTCAACAGCTTTCTAAAATGTTTTCAGCTACATAGAACAGAGTCCTGCCACACTTTTGCTTTAATTTTCTGAATACTCTTGACTGGTCTTTCATATTTTTCTACCTAGTATCCTTTTGTAATATTCTCACAGCTACTCTCCAGCCCTGTTAAAATAAGCAAGCAAACAAAAATCTCTGCATGTGGAGATTGGGGAGATGACTCAGTGGGGAAGACTGCCTGCTCTGTAAACACAAAAACCAGAGTTTGAATCCCTGGAACCCATGTAAAAAGCTAAGTTTGTAACATTGGTAAGCAGAGGCAGGTGGATCTGGAGAGCTCTTGCATGCACTGCACACACAACACACATCAACATAAACCAACATTGTGTACAGTGTGTGAGTGTTCAGTTGGGCATGTGTGTGTGCAGATATGAGTGCAAATATGTACAGGTATATGTGGAGGCCAGATGTCAAATTTGGGTGTCTTCATGCAGTCTTAGTTTTTGAGACACAGTTTCTCATTGAACCTGTAGCCCACTGATTGGGCAAGGCTAGCTAGTCCCAGGGATCCTCCTGTCTCTGCCTTTCCAATCACTGGTATTACAGGCACATGCAGCTGTTGCTAGCTTTTTTATGTAGGTGACAGAGATCAAATTCAGGTTCTCATATTTGCTTGAAAAGCACTTGACTTGCTGGGCCATGTCCCCAGCCCCTCAAACCTTTTTTTTTCATTGAGGTCCTATACACTAAGGAAGTAACTTATAGAAAATCAAGTTCCTTACATTCTAAATCTTTCTAGTTAAGAACAAGTTTCTTCTTTTCATTTTTTCCAGGTCTCAGCAAAAATTTTAAACTCTCTTCTAATAGGTATAGCATAGTTTTTTGTTAGTCTTATTTTCCTTCTTTTTTTGAAGCATTGTAACTGTCACAATTTATTATAAAGAATTTTCTCTTACATTGTTTAACTAGTTCTATACATATAATATAATAAATTTTCTTTTCAGTTTATTGAATTTTTCTACTTTTTATTCTGAAATAATTTCATATTTCAGAAAAGTTATATAGGGGTTAAGGATGTAGCTAAGTGGCAGAGTGTCTGCCTAACATGTGAGAAGTACTGGGTTTGATCTGAGTATAGAGAAAAAGAACAAAGGATTCATTCACTGTTAACATTTTTGCCACAGCTTTAAATCTTTCTCCTCCCAATTTATCCACACATACATACTCAGCACTGAGATAAACAGACAGATGAGATGGCAGTGAGCAGCTTTTTAATACCATGTCCTGACCACTAATACTCAATCTGCATTTTCTAAGATTATAGACATTCTCTTAAATAATCACAGAAATATGTTCAAATTCAGAAAATTGATGCAATCTATAGCCCATACCTCAATTTTGCCAAGTTCCTGCTATGACTTAAAAACAATTATTTTATTATTTTCATTTTATGTGTGTGAGTATATTGCCTGCATGTAGGTAGGTGCACCATGTTGTGCAATGCCTACAGAGTTCAGAAGAGGGTGAAAGATCCCCTGGAACTGGGGTTACAGATGGTTGTTAGCCACCATGTGGGTGCTGGGAATTGAACCCAGGTCCTCTGTGAGAGCAGCTTAACTGCTGAGCCATTTCTCCAGTCTCCCACCCCCTCCATGACTTTTAAACAGTGTTTATGTGCTCTTTTTATTATAGTAGAGTTTTTAGTTCCATCTTACAGACTGTAAAACAAAGAAATAAATTAATAATAATTTTGCCTTGTTCTTTACTGGTTTTGGTATGCTGTCTCCTTGTCTTCTGTTGCGTTAACCATACACTCAAATTTGAAAGCATTCTCTAAATACTCTTGCCAAAATAAAAGTATAGGAAAAAATACTATCCTTTGAGCCACAAATTAAAATCAAATCCAAGTTATGCTACTAATGAGTTGTGTGATGATAGGATAAGTCTTACCATCATTGAAACTGTTTCCTCATCAGTGAAATGAATAAACTATCTGCAATCTGAATTACCATAATTCTGGGTTTGTAAGTTACTTAAAGAAAGGGAGAAATATTCAAAAAATGCCTCACCATTTTTTATTGTAAGTTGTTCATTTTTCTTTATCTGTTCACTCTTGAGTCTGGATGAATACATACTGTTCCTTTTACCTTTAGTGATTAAAACAGAATTCTGCATTCTTGGGAAAAAAAAAAAAGAACTTAGTAGATAACGGCAATGTTTTCCACAAGCATTCATGGAGACTCATATGGAATACTGAGAAAATTTTAAAACCTGAAGGTATTTTACTGAATTATTCTCAGCTGACAAAACAGTGTAAGCATGGAGACAGATTCTGAGCAGACTGGAGAGGGCTGAAGGAGATCTGTTCCTGCCAGTCCTGGAGCACACGGTGTGGTCTCTCCTCCAGGTGTAGCTACCTACAAATGTGAGGATGCTGAGCTTTCTGCCCTCACCCCACCCCCAAGCTGGCATGTCAGCATCCATTCTCTTTCCCTCGTAAGAAAAGGGGGCAGGCTCTTCATAAGAAAAAAGGACTTGCTTTGTAGTATGGCACTGATAAAAAAAAAAAAAACTGAGAGATGAAAAAACAGCAGCAACATAACATAATGCTTTTTACTTGGGGGTGGGGGGGTAACTTTATACTGTCTCTAACATCCTCCAGCACATAGTTATCTGTAGCATATCTGGTGAGAAAGACAGAGCTTGAGAACATACCTGAAATTCTTGCCTGGAGATTTATTATTTATTTGCTCCACACAGTCAAGGGTTTTTGGTAAAACCCTTTCTGACACCTTAGCCGTGTCATCCCTATGCTTTTTATCTCTGCTTACTCTCAGCTTTTCCAGTCTAGATGATCTTCTTCGTACACATGGAGTTCCCTTGACAGAGGTATTTTTCACGGGATCTGAATTTTCATTATTATTTAGTATCTTATAAGAGGTTGCATTTTTATGAGTCAAAGTATGAAATCCAAATGATTTTGGGTCGTCCACAGTCTATAAAGATAAAAATACATCCACAAATAGTCACATTAAAAAATTAAAACTGAAAGTAAATGTATGTTATCCTCTGATGAAACTAAAATTCCTCTAAGATAAAAATGTAAGAATTCATAAACCTATGTGAGAATAATGAAAAATTCTATAATCATATCTTTAAAAGGACAATAGAGACTTAAAAGCTTATGAAGAACATAAGCAGTTGGGTTTGGTGGCACATGCCTATAATCCCAGCACTTGGGAGGCTGAGACAGAATTGTGAGTTTGAGGCCACCTTGGCTTCATAGGAAAACCCTGATGAAGGAAGGAAGGAAGGAAGGAAAGAAAGAAAGAAAGAAAGAAAGAAAGAAAGAAAGGAAGGAAGGAAGGAAGGAAGGAAGGAAGGAAGGAAGGAAGGAAGGGAGAGAGAGAAAGAGCTTAAAAATGACTTTGATCAATATTCATCTTTAAAGCTCAAGGCAAAACAAGTCACTCTGTTGCTTTAGTTTTTCAGGAAATGATGGGTAGTGTAGAGTCAGACACACAGGAACGTGATGAACATGTACCAGACGAGATTGATGGTCTGTGCAGCCTAGAGTATCTCACTGACAGCAGTGATGCTTTATAAGACAAGGTGATATACAACGTCCATATTTATTTTAAAAGGTTAATAGTATATCACAAATTCTTCTAACTTACCTATAAAAAGCTATTAAAGATTTAACTTCCATGAAGACATATAGTCCATGTTTCATCTAAACCTTCTTGAACTCATTTATGTATCTAGATTGCAAAACTTCTCAAAGTAAAATATTGCATATTTTTATCACAGCTGAGTAAGAATATTTAACTTGATTTGTTCTAAGTAAATCTTTTTACTGTTAGAAGGATTTCTTTTAATTTGAAGAGTTGCTAAGCTTGTGCTTACCTTAATCCTACCAATCATACTTTCTTCACATTCCTTTTCATACTAGAGCACTGCAATGTTTAATATTCATGTTTATCTCCATGATTAATGTCTTTTTCTGGGTGTTTGTTTGTTTGTTTGTTTTCTTAGTCCTTTATGCCTAAGATTTGTTGACCAGAACTGCATGGAGTATTGTTCTACATATGTGTGCTACAAAATGAGCTTACATTATCTCTAAGTCTTCCCAGGGATGCACATGGAGCATTTTGGAAACAGCCAAAAGAAAATAATCCAAGTTTCCATCATTAATAAATTGATTAAATTATAATATATTTATACACAGTGATGCCAGTTAGAAAGTTAAAAGATTTTAAGTAGTGCTACATTTCCTGACACTAAAAGATAACCACCATATATTCCATTTTAAAACTAAGTTGCAGGGTTAGAGAGCTGGCTCAGTGGAGCATTCACTGGTCTTGTAGAGGAGTTGGTTTCAGGACCCACATGGCAGCTGACTATCACCTGTAACTCCAGTTTCAGGGGATCTGACACTCTCTTCTAGCCTCCATGGACACTGAACCCATGTGGTACATTTACATACAGTTAGGCAAAATACTCACACACACAGGAAAGAAGTAAAAATTGACTGGGAATGGTGACATATGTCTTTAATCCCAGAATTTAAGAGGCAGAGGTGGGTAGATCTCTGAGATGGAGGCCAACCTGGTCTACATAGTGAGTTCCAGGTAGCTGTGGCTACAGGGAGACCCTGTCTCAAAAAGACAAATATATAAATAAATAAATAAATAAATAAATAAATAAATAAATAAATATTAAAATAACTCAGTTGCAAAACACCCTATATAATTCCATCTGAATAAAAGAAAGTTACATAGAATATAATAGAAATAACTAGAAATGTACCAAACTCTTAAACAGTGATTATCCCTAGAAAATGGATCTATGGGAGACTTTTACTACCATATTGTTATATAATACTGAGATGTCTGATACGTTTGTTTGGTTTGGGTTTTGTTTGTTTGTTTGTTTGTCTGTCTGGTTGGTTGGTTGACTGGTAGGTTGAGACAAGGTCTTACTATGTCACCCATGATGGCCTTGAATTCCTGAGTTGTTGGTCCTGCTGCCTCAGCCTCTCCAATGCTAGTATTGCAGGTATGTACAACCATAATTGACTCTAGCTTTTTAATAATGATGTAAACTCTCAACCTGCAAAAGGAAGTTGGCTCCTAGTAGGCCTCTGCAGGGCATCCAGGCATAATGTTGTAGGATTTCTAAACCACAAGTTATGCCTGGCAGTTTATTCAGACATAGAAGGCAAAGTTTTGCTTAAGAAGACATAAATCTTCCTCCTCACTTAGCAGCCCATATTACTCTGTGTTCAACTATAAATTAATGTGAGGGATCTTATCTACTCTGCACTCGGGTAAATATAGTAATTTTCTGAATAACAAAAAATTCTAGTAAAGAATTCTTTCTTTTCTATATACTAGCAAACTAATGATACACTACTTAAGTATGTTGGGGAGAAAAATATTTTAACTTCTTATCCCCTTGAAAACTACCCAAGCACATCTAAGAGGATCAATATAGTTACACAGTATCTTCTAGATGTTGACATGTGGTTAGAAGACCTGAATTTAACACAATGAGGATTTGTTATAGGTCACTACCGAAGTTAGACTCAGATATTTATTTCTATGTGGACACATACTTTTTCCACTGACAGATGGAACTTTGTTCAAATGGTAGGGTAGAACAAAGAAACTGAAAATTTACCTGTGCTATTTGTGTGCAATCTTCATCCATCTGAGACATACCAGGCTTTACTTCTAAACATTCATTTCCACCACTAACACTGCTGCCTTGCTCTTGTCCTTGACAGATGGGTCCTATATTGGCATCTGGCAATGTGCTGATGGCTGTCAACCACTCCAGTGTCAATGCATCATCATCCTTCATGCCTTCTAGTAAATCTCTAGAACATGCTGGCAAATCATTCAAAGGAGCTAATATGGAACTCGAGGAGTTGCTCAATGGGTTCATCAACTCTCCAGGATCAAAATCATTAATTATTTCAAGTAGTCTTTCATCTTGGGTGCTTGCTGGTGATCCTAACAATTTTTCTAAAGCAGACACGAAAGTTTCAAGAGAGCTTTCTTCATCTTTGGTTTCTTTAGAAGTTGTAGTCAGTGTTACTTCCTTTCCAGGCTCAGAAAATGCATTTGATACTGCTGGTTCAGTTAATAATTTCTCCTTTAGAGCAATCAAATCAGATCCTCTAATAATAGTACCTGAGAGAAGGCTAGTTTCAGGAGAATCTCTGTCTTCACGTAATTCCTGTGCATTCCAAACAGAAATTCCATTACAGAAAACACAAACGTTTAAAATTTAAAAATTTAGTTTTATAATTCATTTTGTTTGTAATTTATTTTTACCAATCATCCTCCTCATTCATAAATAAAAAGAATGTTCCTTACTACTTTCCTATACCAAATCAGTAAGGCCTAAATACGCGGTTACTTTAATAGTGAACTGGCTGGACCATATTTACAGATGGTAAATTATTTGTTCTAATAAAAAAGAGAGATGCTCTAGGTAGTTACATTAACAGATGGTCTCAATACTTCGCAGTGTTTAAGTAATGATAAAAATTCTTTCTTGCCAAATATTCTTATTAGTCTTAAAAATAAAATTGGTATCTTTTACCTTCTTAATGAATATGCTAATGTGAAAAATAAGAAGATAGAAAGGACAGGAAGTCAGAGGGGGAAATAGGAAAAATGAGGGTACAATTCTGAGCCTTCATTTTTTGAGCTCATGAATTTTATGAGCTCTGACAATAAATTGATAGCCCTGGGTTTTATTTGTTTTAAACAAAAAACATAAAATTTACAATACGAAGTGATTCATTTTTCAAGGACATCACTTTGACAGGTGCTCCTATTCCTAGTTTTTCCAAGCTCCAAAATAATAGACTCACTCTCCTGATAAGCCATACAATAAATAATGTACTTTAAAGGTACTGAAATTTATGAGTTTCAATGACTTTAGCCGTTTCCTAAAATCAAATACACCACCCCTCTGGCAGGATAATCATTTTCTTAGCCTTCTAGTATTTTCTTCTAATTTGAATTAAAGAAGTAAAAAAATAACTTAGCTTCCCTCCTGTGTTTTTATGTCTGCCACCATTTATCCCATGTCTATAGCATACAGAGCCTAAGAATATATATTTATTTTTAGCAATGCTAGCTATAATTTTCTTAGATAAATTCAGAAGGAATCTAAGAACTAGATCCTATCCATTCTTTAAGCCACATCTCACGGCTTCCCTTTTATTTGAAGTCCTTGTGTCTACTAAATTCAAGACACTAAGTATAATAAACAACAGTTTCATAGAACCTAGTATTGCAAGCTGCTTTCTTGTTGAATTTTTCAAAGATGGTATGTTGTAAATCACTGTCCAAGACACAATGTACCCCACATATTTTATCTAAAAACTGTTTGTCTCAGATGATTTATTAGGAAATAAAAGAATTTCTGGAATTCAATGAAAAAGACAATACAACACAACACAACCTCTGGGACACATTAAAAGCTGTCCTAAGAGGAAACTTTATAGCTCTAAGTGCCTACATTAAAAAATTGGAAAGAGCCCAAATAAATGACCTAACACTGCAAATCAAGACACTGGAAAAGCAAGAACAAATGAAACCCAAAATCCACAAGAAGAGAAGAAATAACAAAAATCAGAGCAGAAATTAATGAAATATAAACAAAGAAAAATAATACAAAGAATCAACGAATCCAAGAGCTGATTCTTTGAAAAGATAAACAAGATTGACAGATCCCTAGCCTGGTTAACCACTCAACTTTACCACATCCAAGTCCCACATAAACATTGCCCATACTTCAACATCACTACAGACACCCAAAAGATCCAGAACATTACAAGGGAATACTTTAAACACCTACACTCTATTAAATTTGAAAACCTAAAAGAAATGGATGGATATCTAAAAACATGGGACCCTCCAATGTTAAACCAAGAAGAGATCAACAGTTTAAACAGACCCATAACATATTAGGAAATCGAAACAGTAAAACAAAGCCTTCCAAATAAAAAAACGCCAGGCCCAGATGGATTTACAGCACAATTCTACCACACTTTTAAAGAAGACCTCCAATCAATACTGCTTAAAGTATTCAAAATGATAGAAACAGAGGGAGAACTCCCAAAGTCCTTCTATGAAGACAGTATCATTCTAATACCCAAACTGGGTAAAGACACAACCAAAAAAGAAAACTATAGACCCATATCCTTAATGAACATATATGCAAAAATTCTGAACAAGATACTTGCAAACCACATACAGACACACATCAAAAAGATCATCCACCATGATCAAGTCAGCTTTATCCCAGAGATGCAGGGATGGTTCAATATACACAAGTCAATAAACATCATTAATCATATAAATGGACTCAAAGACAAAAACTACATCATCATCTCAATAGATGCAGAAAAGTCTTTTGACAAAGTTCAGCATGCATTTATGCTCAAAGTCCTAGAGGGAACAGGACTAGAGGGAACATAACTAAACATAATTAAAGCTACATATAAGAAACCCACAGCCAACATCATTCTAAATGGAGAAAAACTGGAAGCATCCCCATTAAAATCAGGAACCAGAAGGATGTCCACTACCTCCACTCCTTTTCAACATGGTGCTTGAAACTCTTGCTAGAGCAATAAGACAGGAGAAGGAAATTAAAGGAGTATTAATTGGAAAAGAAGAGGTCAAATTATCACTTTTTGCAGATGATATGAAACATACCTAAGAGACCCCAAAAGTTCCAGTAGAAAACTCCCAGAACTGATCAACACTTTCAGTATAGTGGCAGGTTATAAAATCAATCCACAAAAATCAGTAGCCTTTCTATATACCAATAACAAGCAACTGGATAATGAATACAGGGAAATGCTCCCATTGACAATTGCTGCAAAAATGAAATAAAATATCTCAGAATAAATCTGACCAAAGACACCAAAGAGCTCCACAATGAAAATTTTAAATCATTAAAGAAAGAGATTGAGGAAGATACCAGGAGATGGAAGGACCTCCCATGCTCATGGATTAGAAGAATTAATATTGTGAAAATGACCATGGTACCAAAAGCAATACATAGATTCAATGCAATCCCAATCTAAATCCCCATGACATACTGCACAGAATTAGAAAAAAAAAATCCTTAAATTTGTATGGAAGCACAAAAGTCCCCAGATAGCCAAAGCAACCCTGAGCTCAAAGAGCAACACTGGGTGGATTACTATACTGTGGTCACCGGCTGTGGCTGCTCTCCTCCGGCTATGGCCACTTTCCTGCTCTCTCAGTTCCTCCAATTAGTCGTCTGGTCCTGACCCCAGGGCTGGTGAGGAGTCTGCACCAGCTTCGCTGCATTCATATGCAGGTTCAGTGACACAGATCTGCTTTATTGCAAGAAAGTAAGGGCTTATATAAGGGTAATAGTACAATCACAACACAGCATATGGGATCCCTTATTAGCATGGAAGACTAGTATCCTTTTACACTCTAGCGGGCCAGATGCCCTATTAGAAGCAATACATTCCAGCATGATAGGTATGTAAGGCAAAAGGCAAAATCAGTCACAAGATTTTCCACAACACTATACCAGATCTCAAAGTATACTACAGAGCTATAGGCATAAAAACGGCATGGTACTGGCACAAAAATAAACACACAGATCAATAGAACATCATTGAAGACCCAAATCCGAGTACACACAATTTCAGCCACCTGCTATTTGACAAAGGTGCCAAGAACACACAGTGGAGGAAAGACAGCATCTCCAAAAAATGGTGCTGGCAAAACTGTGGATCTCCACCTGTAGAAGAATAAAAGTAGATTCTTATCTTTTGCCTTGCACAAAACTCAACTCCAAATGGATCAAAGACCTCAATGTGAAACTGGAAACCCTGAAACAGTAGAAGACAATATTGACAGTAACTTACAACATATAGGTGTAGTAAGGGATTTTCTAAGTTGGACAGAAGTTGCTCAGGAATTAAGGTTAGCAATCAATAAGTGGGTCCTCATTAAACTAAAAAGCTTCTGTACAGCAAAAGAAACAAAAAAGCGGAGAGAAAACCCACAGAATGGGAAAAAATCTTCACCAATGACACCAAAGGTTTAACAACCAGATATATAATGAACTCAAAAACAAAGAATCAAGAAACCAAATGACCCAATTAAAAGATGGGCTAAAGATCTACACAAAGAGTTCTCAAGGAAAGAAATAAAGATGACTAAGAAACATCTCAAAAAGTGTTCAACATCATTAGCAATTAGGGAAATGCAAATTAAAACCACCCTAAGGTATCACTTTACACTGATCAGACTGGCTGGGAGCAAGAGAACTGATACCAAATGCTGGTGAGGATGTGGAGAAAGGGGAATGCTCATTCACTGCTGGTGGGGTTGCAAACTCATGTAACCTCTATAGAAAACAGTGTGAATTCTTAAAAAACTAAAAATGAACATACCATATGACCTGGTTATACTTTTCCTTGGCATATACCCAAAAGACTCATCCTATTGTAGAGATATTTGTACAACCATGTTTATTGCTGCTCTTTTCACAATAGCTAAGATACGGAAGCAACCTAAATGCCCTCAACTGACGAGTGGTTAACAAAAAATGTGGTATAGTTACACAGTGGAGTGCTATTCAGCAGTAAAGAAAGATGAAATAATGAAATTTACGGGTAAATGGATGGATCTAGAAACTGTTACACTAAGTGAAGAAACACAGACTCAGAAAAACAATGTATGTTCTCCCTCATATGTGAATCTTAGCACCAAATCCTTTTAAATTCCATGTCCTTTTAATAATATGATGCTGTACAGAAGTCTCTTCTGCATGAAATAACTACCATCATCATGACTTCAGCTGTGCCTGATAGCTAAACATCGTCACAGTTGGGCTTGTTGATGGTTGTGCTCACGCATTAAAGGAGGACCAAGCAGGGTCATGGGCGCTCACAGGAGTATCCAGCCACTCTTCCCAGCCAACTGTATGTAATTTGGCCCTAATCACACATGGTCTCCTGGGTATGGGGAGGGCTAAGGTATACATTCTGGGGAAGGCTAGGAAGAGAAGGCATGACCCATGCTGGGTAAAGGCTTTCCAGTATGCAAACCCTCAGGTCATACATACAACTCAGCAGCCCCTCAGTTATCTTGGTTAAGTAAGCTCAGTAAATTCATTGGTTCTCCAGTAAAACTTTAATCAAACATTGGCTTGATACTAGAACCTTA